CAGCAAAGTATCCTGCTTAGCAGCAACACGGCAAAAATGAATGCAGGAGGAATTCAGCTGAAATGCCCAACTGTTTAAGCAAAGTAGTGGAAATTAGCATGTTTAGGCAGAGCATGACTAATAGTTGAGGTTGATGTCTAAGTGGACAGAATGCTTTTCCACAATGTGCCCCTGGGTGTTTGTTGATGGGGACATAGTACTAGAGTAGATATGCAATAGACCTGACTCAGAATGATGTTACGTATGTTCCTTACATAGAAAAAGAAATAAAATCAATAGTTCTACCAGAAAAGTAAAAAAAAAAAAGAAAGATGAATATGAAGGACATCAAAGTTTAGCCAGTTACCCTGGGGTGACTCTGCTTTATACCTGCCGCAGCTGGGGATCTAATGTGCTCTAGAATAATCTGAAAAGTGCTCCTGATTATTTGCTACATCACCAGGAGAATTATATCCCCAAATTGCTAATTTTAATGTGCTTGGCCAATTGAACCCATACTGTTGTAATGAGATTATATTGGATTTGTTGAGTAATAAAAACAAAAGTACAACTCTACTAAAAGCTGACATTTGTAGAGGCTTTGAGATTTGCAAAGTGCTTTAAACACAAATAAGCATCCTTAACTGCTTTGTAAGCATTTAGCGAGTTATGTTCTATGTCAGTACTTTTCAAAGGCTTTTTAAGGTTTTGTAGGTTTAAATAGCTTGGAATCTCAACTTCTTGCATAGAGCCACAGGTCTACAACTGCAAAGATCTATAAAGACTATCTAGTCCAAACCCTTCATTTTACAGTTAAGGAAACTGAGTCCCAGAGGGTTTAGCTGACTTGTCCAAGGTCACATAAGGAATAAGTATCAGAGTTAAGTTATAAAGTCATATCTTCTGCCTCCAAATGCATTGCTCTTTTCACTAAGCTGCATTGCCTCTCATGGGATGTGGCATGGAGCATGCAAGACAAAGACATGTTGTCATTCTCAGAAAGAAGAAAAAGTTCCCTCTGTGGCCCTTGCAAATTTGGTATCATTTTTCATAGAAAAGGAGGGTTTCTGAAGTGGTGATGTTGGGGTGTCAAGAAGTAGGAAGGCTGCAGGGATATTTTTCAGGTATCATGGAAGGCTCTTGGTTTGTAAATAATGCTAGAGACAAAGACAATTCAGTGTAGCTGTGAAGATGAGGGGAGAATGTATTGATTGTTTGGTTACAGAAGAGACAATGTTGAAGAAGTGTAAGTAGGGGAAGGGTGTTGAGTTATGGCAGAGGACTGGTCTTCATTATCTTCTTTGGTATTTGTTAGAGCTTGTCTTATTGTGATAATAAAAGCAGGACTATGAGATCCAGTTCTAGTACTGCCTTTCTTACTTGTATCAGCTGAAATTGCCCCTAGTTTATTCTATAGAGTAGCATATCACTGCTTGCAACACTGGGAATTTGTAACTTGAGCAACCCAGTGCTAAGCAATTTTGGGCATGGTCTATAGATAATAGAAGAAGTACAAGGTTATAGTGTATTTTGGCACCAACATACTTTATCCCTCACTCTATCCTTCTATCAAACCCCCAAGGTTTCTTGTGGTACTCCAAAGTTTTGGAGGATATAATTTGGAAACCAATAAACTAGATCATGAGCACCAATTTGATGCATACATGTTATTGTCCCTGGATTCAGATGCAAGTAATTTACCAGAGCACTAATCCTTGAAGAATGAAGAGAGAATGAGTACTTTTCCATTGCTATGTGAAAAAGTGGCATAGATTTGTATTGTGTAGCCTCACAGTGCATAACTGAGCCAACAGGGTAGAACTACAGGCAACCATCATGTGAAGGAAAGAGTTTGGGATTTGGAATTGGAAGAAATGGTGAACAAGAAGACTTGGGTTTGAACCCTAGCACTACTCTGACCAAGTCATGTAACCTCTCTGAGACTTTTTTCCCTCATCTATTAAGTGAGGGGGTAGGATTAAAGGGCCTCAAAATTCTACTTCTATGCTTCTATGAAATTATTGGGAAGTAGATTTCTGCTCATTGTGAAGAACTCTTTAACAATTATAAATGTTCCCAATTGAAAATAGATTTTTGGAAGTATTGAGCATTCTGTCATGGCAAGTATGCAAGAAAACATGGGATAACTATCTGTCAATGATATTTTAGAAGTCATTCTTGAATTGGGTAGTAGGTAGGACTCAATGACTCTTTTAGTATTTTCCAATTATATGATCCTTATAGGGGCAGCTAGATGGAATAGTAGATTGAGTACTGAACTTGGAGTAGGCAATATGAGTTGAAATCCTGCCTTAAACACTTATTGTTGTTGTTGCTCAGTCCTTTTCAATCTTGTCCAGCCATTTCCTTCTCCAGCTCATTTTACAAATGAGGAAACTGAGGCCAACAAGGTGAAGTGATTTGCCTATGATCACACTGCTAGTAAGTATCTGAGGCCAGATTTGAACTAAGCAAGTTGTGTCTTCCTAACTCCAGTCCCTGCGCTCTATTATCCACTGTGCCACCTAGCTGCTCCAGACACTTATTAGCTCTGTCTATTTGGGTGAGTCACTTAACCTCTTTGTACTTCAGTTTCTTTCTCTGTAAAATGGGGAAACTAATAGTAAATACCTCCCAAAGTTGTTATGAGGCTCAACTGAAATTATTTCATATATATATATATATGTGTGTGTGTGTGTGTGTATTTGTGTGTGTATGCACATATACAGATCTCTGTAATAATTTAATGTACACATATAATATATATATACATACAGACATACATATATACATAATCCGTTTGCAAACCTTAAAGTTCAATGTACATATTAGCTATTATTATCCTCACTGTTATATACCCATAGCACATCTTTTTAAAAATTCAGAGAAAAATTGACTTTAGTTGTTGTAACTTTACTGAAAATCTTTCTATTTCCCAACAAAGTGCAGGAAAATGATTATATTTTCATCTAGTAGGAAAAGAAATAATTTAAAATGACTTAGGATTCTAGGATTCAAGGTGTTTCCAGACATTGCTATGCTTTATTCTTCCACTTCTAAAGTTACCTTCGAAGTCCGTGATGGTCATTGTTACACTAGCCTGGCTGGGTCAGTGAAGCCATGTGACATTAAATGACTTCATGCTAATGACTTAATGAAGATCATATCCTCCAAAGCCACAGATTATGTATCTTTTTGAGATTCCCCTAAGTATTCAAAATTCACACACCTGTTTTCTTTCATCACCTACTGCTCTACTCTATCCAAAGCCTAAGGCAGCATAAACTATTAAAAAGGTGAAAATGTTTAGTACAAATCCTTGAAAGACTCACTTTTTTTCTTAGCACAAATAACCTTTTATAAGATCTTTTTTTTAATCTGTAGAGAGAAATAAATCAAGGGTTCAAGGGTGTTTTGGCATCTAATTGTTATGGTTCTGGTTTAAGGAAATTAGAAGAAGGGGAAGACTATTGACTGAAATTGAAGAGTTCTAATGTTCAAAGGAATGACTTAGAGGAAGATGGTAAATACTTGGAATTATTCATTATCTTCCAAATAGCTTGCATACTGAAGGCCATAATTTTATCTCCCTTGCCGGGCTGTTAATATGATTCAAAAGAATGAGCTCAAGGGGCCCACTGTGATCTGAGGCTGAGGCTGAATTCCTGATGTTGAGTCAGACTTGGAGCTCACTCCCCTCCCCTCGGTGTTTTTTTTTTTTTGTCTTTTGTTTTTTGTTTTCAAGGAACAACTGCTTGAATATTAAGACATAAGGTAAAGAGTCATTTCTATTAAGGAAAAGAGTTTGGAGGCAGAGAGAAAGCAGAAATGGATGTGATTACCCTCTTGGAGCAAGGAGCTTGAATAGCATTTTCATTTAATTTTACTCTAAAGGAGCATACTGCACTGTTTGCGAAGGACGTCCAGACTCAGCAGTGAATGTTAACAGAGAACCAACTTTTCTTGTTCATCTTGGACATGAGGGATTCAGGTTTGCAGGAAAGGCAGAGGGATACCCAGAGCCATTATTAGTCATTCTGGTACCCAGTACAAGTGATAGGAAAGGAACCCTAACATGACCTTTAAACATTTTATTTTTCATTTTTATTACTATCTGTAATTTTTTTATATCCAATAAGATCTGCCCTTGTCCCACTCAGAGAATGATTGCCTATGACAAAAATTAAAAAAGGAAAAGAAAAAAAAAGCATTTTAGCAAAACTAACCAAGCCCACAGTAAGTGCAGTACTCCATAGCCATAGTTCACCTCCCTCTGAAAAGAAGTTAGGCTCATTATCATAGCTCTTCTATAGCCTTTGGCTTACTCATCAAGTGACCCTTTCAGACACATTTATATGAGGGTTGGAGGGGGAAAGGTCTTGTCTAGGGAGACTTCAAACTCAAGACGTAATGCACTTTGGAAGAAAAAATCCTAGGACACTGGTCTTGTGTTTGACAGAGTGTAGTGCACCAAAGCTGCTACTGGGGAGACCTCCAGAGCAGGGAGGAGATCAGGCAAGGTCTAGAAGAGCCTCAGCTGGGCTGAGGCCTCTGGGGCAAAGAAGGGAAACTTGACAGCTTTCTACTTTTTATTCCACTTTTATATACTTCTCTATGTAGCTGTTGTCTCCTTGCTCTCCAGCCTCCCTCTATAGCACTGGATATGTCCCACCCTGGGTAAGTCATTTAACCTGAAATTGCCTCAGGCTACTCTCTAAGACCCTAAGACCATAAGTTGCTGAGAAGGTGTTGATATAAAGTGGTGTGGAAGCTCCTTCTGACATTAAGAAATTGTAGATCTAGTTAAAAGCAAATGTGTATATATGTGTGTGTGTGTGTGTGTGTGTAATTTAGAGAGAGAGAGAATAGCAGAGAAAAGAGAAGAAAAGGGGGAAGGAAACGGAGAAGAAAAGAGCACTTGATTGTTTCTCTTTGCTGAAGGCCTGCTCCCTCCAAATTTTGGCACCTCTGGTTAAAAGCTCTGTTTGCTCCACCCTCATTAAAGATTCAAATATACCTACCTTTTCTAGCAGTTGTCGAAGTTGCCTGCTTTTCGCATCCCGGGAACACAGGTTTTGTTCTGGTGCAACCACTGTGCAAATGCAACGTCCATCAGGATCTTGGGCTGAACTATACACTTGCCAACCTTCTTTTGGGCTAATCTGCGTCTGGGGAAACCAAGGACAAACACAAGAAACACAGAACTCAGTTGAGAGGACAAAGGTTCCAAAGAGTGATCAAAGCCTAAATTGCCATTCTTTGTATCAGGCAGAATTGGTATAACAACTTTGTCAAGAGCCCAGAAACATTTTGCTCCAAATATAAGTCCCTCAAAGTTTGGATTTTCCCTTTTGAACTTAGAATTGCCATTTAACATAGTACACATTGTTTATTGATCCTAGAGAATTCCCTAGTGATTTTTGTCATATCTTTGATACTTCAATGAATTTTTGGAAGCTTCTGACAAAAGAAGTTTCTAAAATTTGCTGAAGCAAATGAGCACATACACCATCAGTACCTTTACACAAGACACGTCAGCCAAGACTTTTCAAAGTATGTAGCAATTAACAGTAATTATTTTCTGGGTGCTGTAAATGTATAAAATACCCTACAGTCCTCATATCTTTGCCACAAGCTTCCAGTTCCAATGAAAATGTGTTTCATTTTGTCTTGATTTTCCTCCTTAAACTAGACAGATAGCACCACCTGAGAATCTGGGATCACCTGGGTTTTTCTTATATCAATGAAATCACAGGCCTACTTCCTATTGATCTCCTCTGTTTTTCTATTACCTTCATTTACCGATTAATGCTTTTTTACTCCTCTTCCCAGGGAACTAACCCTTATAACAAAGAGTTAAAAAAGAAAGGGGGTGGGTGGCAATATAGTTGATCAAAAATAATAAACATAGCAATCTTGTCTGATAGTATATTCGATATTTGCTCAAATATTTTCAATAACTCCCCATTGCCAACAAAACGAAGTCCAAATCCCTTGCCCTTCTATCCATAGCTCCTCCACAATTTAGCTGTATATACTTCTCCACTTCTTTTATTTTCTACTAACCCCTTAAAGAACCCAATGTATTAAATACCCAACTGGTGCACTCATTGTTCCTATGTGCACCACTTTCTCTGGATTGTAGCTAATGACCTTTGTTGTTTTTAAAATGCCTCCCTAACCTTCAGCTCCCCTCCTTTCCTCATTTGAATCCTTACTTTTTCTGAAGGCTCAGCTCAAGTCCCTCCTGCTCCAGAAAGCCTTACTTAATCACCCAGTCCTCAATTTCTAGTATTTATTGACTGTACCACTCATTTGGCCCTTGTACTAACTTGTATTCAAACATTTAATCAATAAGCATTAAGCCCATAGAGCAGATGATGTAATGAAAAAGTGAACTGGTTCTTGACCTTAATGAGCTTATGTTATAACAAGAGACAAAAACATGTGCATGTATAAGTACAGATAGACTATATACAGAAAACGAATAGTAGGTAGTTTGGGAGGGAAACACTAGAGGCTTCAGGATCAGGGAAAACTTCATGTGAAAGAGAACACTTGAATTGAGCATTGAAGGACACTAGGAGTTACAGAGGAGGAAACAAAGGGGAATAGAATCCCAGGCGTGGAGGACAGAAAGAAGATGGAGTATTGTGTGTAAGGAACAAGTGGGCCAATATGCTTGGACTGTAGAATTTGTGCAGAGAGTAACATGGAGGAAAATACTGATCTTTTTATATAAATGGCTAATCTTCCATAACGTAGTTATACATCCCTTAAGGATAGGGGCCTAGCTTATACCCTATTGTTTCTGGAATACACAGCCCTATTCCTTAGGCATGATTGAGGAATAAGATTTATCCCATGTACTTAATCCACACCTTTCAGCATCATAGATGGGTACCTCAAAATATTTGTTGAATTTAATTTGTTCATTTGATGATGATGATGATGATGATGATGATGATGACGATGACATTCTGATGATAGATACCCTAATGAAGTATGTGAATAGTCATTTTATTCAGCATGTGTTTACTGTTATATATTGGCTTCCCTAGGGTCCTAGTTAATATTACAAAGGTTTTGTTTGTTATTTATTTTTGACTCTGGACTCACAGTTAAAGTAGAACAACCCCTCTTATTTCTTCCTGAACTTAAATATAAAATGATGCCTTATGTTACTAATTCTTTGAGAGGAAAAATATTTTGCTTTCGTAGTCTATAAAATCTATGACAGTGCTGTTTGTATGACAACTTTTTGATGCTGATATGTGTGTGTGGAAAGATAGAAACTCCTTCTACTCAGCTCTGGAGACTTTCAATTATTATTATTATTATTTTTTGTTGGGGTGCGTATGGTGTGGGATAGTGTTGGTAGAAACTGACATACCCTGCAATAATATCCATGTAATTCTAAAAACCTACAGAAAACAAAACAAAGCAACAGCAACAACAAAAACCAAAAAGCCTCAGACAGCCATCTGTGCATTTCAAGTGTGTAGTTATTTGTGATTGTGAAGACTCAACATCCAGATGACATTTCACTTTTCATTTGGGTGTTTTGGTTTCCTATGGACATAGACACTGTTTCTGCACCTTTCTCATGTAGTCCTAAAACCCACGGTCATTTGGACATGATGGATGGATGGATGATAAAATGAGCATAATGTTGACTTACCTCCAGTTAGAAAAAATGCATTGCTTTACTTTTGCATCTGTCTGGCTTTCTCCCTTTTTGCCTCTTGGAGGAGAACCCATTTAAATGATTTGAATATATTATAAGTTAAGCACTCATGCTGACTAGCTATTATAGAGACATAAAGGCTATCTCTGTTTTCATAAATTTTAATGAATTCCATTTGTTATGTGAGGCAGTTCGAGGAAGTAGAAAGGGTAATAGACAGAAAGTACGGTTCCAAATTCTAGTTTCACCATTTCTAGCTTTGTGATCTTGGTTTAAAAAAATCCATCATAGCCTTAAAAATAGAATTTAGGTTATCTAGCTCTCAGCTTATTATAAGAATCAGATTACCCAGCCAATTTATTTGTTTATTTGTTATTTTCCTACTGGGCATATATAATAACTTTATCACCACATATACATGTCAACTATTATAATTATTATATTATGATGCATTTCTGAGCTATGTAAACCACACACAAATATTGGCCTCAGTTTATAGAATCACAGAACCATTGTTGGAAAGGAACCTCAGAAGTCATTTGGTCTATCTCTTACTCAAAGCATGAATCACCTGCTCAATATTACCAACAAATGGTTATCAACCTTCCTCTTGATATCCAGTGACAGGAAATGCACCATCGTTTAAGATAGCCCATTCCATTTTTTGATAGCTCTAATTGTTAGAAAACATCCTTTTATATTTAGTCAATACTTGCCTCTCACTAATTACCACACACTGATCCCTCTAGGGCCAAGAAGAACAGGTCTAATATCTCACATAAGTCAAGTCAAGCTATGACAATAAATGCTTATCAAGCATGTGTTATGTGCCAGGCACTGTGTTAAGCACTAATCACCTTGCAAACATTATTCTATCACTTTTAGTTCTAGTTTCATCTTAAAATCTGTAATATACAAACTGTTCTCTATAGTGTCAAAGGCCAAGAGCCAGAAATTGTTAAAAGACTTTTTCTTATTTTCAAATTATGGACTCAGTAATAGCCTATTCCGAGATGTATAATTAAATTATCATATAGATGTAAATAATGTATCTATAGATTGAGATGTACAAATAGATACATATATCTATCTATCTATCTATCTGTATAGATACACATACACATATATATTATATATAAATACACACACAAATAAGCATCTTCTCTGCTGATAAAAAAAAGCCTGATATTACAATTCTTTCCCACCTTGTTTTTCATGGTCAATTCTCTATTGCTTAATTTAAAGAGAGAGAAAAGGATATGAAAAAATAGTCACACTGTATGCATAACACTGGTTTTATAGTGTAGTTTCAATAGGGTAATTGAAAAAATGTCTCAGTAGAAATACTTTTATTTCTGTAAATGCATATTAATATAGTCTACTGAGGTAAACCTAGGAATGATCATTTTTCTTTGAATAAAAAATAGCACATTAAAAGCTTACTATGTGCTAGGTATGGTGTACCTTTGGATACAGACACAAAAAAGACAGATAATGCACTCAAGGAGATTAGATTATAATAGGAAAAGCTAGCCTATATAGGGAAGAGTGGCTAGGAGAAGCAGTTTTAGTCTGGGGAGCACAGGTATAGTGACTTTATATATAGAGTAGTAAATTGATATTCACTTTCCAGAAGGAATGACACTATTGATTTCTTTATTGTTTCAAGAGCAAGAAAAAGTAGTTCATATGCAACAGGAAACAGATGTCAAGGTGGCCTAGAGGGCTGACTGGAATGCATGTGAAGGTGAAGCATCATCTGGAGCCTAGGGCCACCTTGTATGTAGAGTATGCTAAACAGACTAGCATATACTCAATCAAGATAGTTGGGTCCTAGGAAGGGATCTTAGAAGATGAACGAGAATGCGAGCATGGATTCTGGAGGTCCAGGGTACAGAGGTTTGGTGTAGAGGGTATTAGTTCATGGAGGGTAAAGAAGAACAGCAGCAGCAGATAGATGATAATATGGCCTGAGTATATGACTATTGCCTGGTAGCAATATGAGAGTATGGATATTTTTCTCTATGATTAGATATAATATTTCAAATACCTCAGAAACATGTGAATGTTTCTGTGAATAGATTTTCTTTGTGAGGAGGGGATAAGAATAACCTAATTATAAAAATACAGGTGAGTCTACTTTGCAACCATGAATGCCAATGCTCACTTGCCAAGTTTTATTTCCTTTAGCTCATGGCATATTATCCCAAGGGAAAATGGCAGTTTCTCTTTAGATTTGAGGGTAATTGGAAAAGTGAAAGGTAAACAATGTTCATATTCATTAATAATTTTCTCAAGTGTCAGCTGAAGAAAGTAATGACCTCTTTGGTTATTTCAAATATCCAACTGTAAAAGTAATTAATGAAAGCAATGGCCCTTCCTCTAGTTAGTTGAATGATCTAAACCAGGTGTCTGCAAATTACAGTCCTCCTGGCAGTTGTTTACCAATCTCTAGTCTAGACTAGACCATTAAAAGAAATC